GTGGATGGAATTACCACTATATTAAACAGTTTAAATATAACGTTTGAAAAGCACATGTCAACTGAAAGTGTAATGAAAGAAACAAAACCTTAAATGCATTCTTGGTGGATTTTAATTCACCTAATACGAGCAATCATCGCCACTACGATTATTTGTGTTATTATGTACTCTGTGTGTTAATGTGTTGTATCATATTTTTTAGGTTTCCTAGTCATTGTCAGTTATATTAAACACAAAATATAAAAAGTTTGAATCGGCCCTCATCTTCCAAGGTGTAGTGGCACCGTTCCCTCTATGGCTGCTTAAACTCTTAAAATTGTCATATCAGTGTAGACATGTGAAGAAAATACAGGCAGAACTAAGTAGATCCAGTTTTCATTCAAAAACATTGGTCCTCATTCAGTATGTGTATGGAAACATCATTGTCCTGTGCAAACAAAAAACACGTGCACACACAAAATTACAGAAAACCTGTGCAAACTTTGTTCTGTGTGTTTGTTAATGACTCTGGATCATCCACATACTGTCATGCTTCTACTTCTCTTTGCAAATAAGCAAGTTTACCTCAAGGTGAAGTGGAGAAAGTGATGATCGTGTAAGAGAGACGCCTGCATCACTAAAGCAGGAAAACAGGAGGAGATATGACTGAAGAAACAGAAACAATAGCATCACAAGTCAGTGATTCATCTGTATTTTAATAAAATGATTGTTAGAATTACAATTTTAAAAAAAAAAGTTCTGGAACTAGTCTTAAGGCTCTTGTGCTTTCCTGCTTGGCACATCTCTGCAACATTGTGTGCAAGTCTGGTGGTGGAACACAGCACCAGCACTTTATCCTCTGAAGAACAGTGTTGACAAGTTTACCCAACTGGTCAATATATTAACCGCATCTCTTAGGGTTGTTTTGTAGCATGAGGCATCATGTCTGTACTTACAAACTGAGCATTAGATGCAGTGACAGCTTGTTTCACATTGTTTGAATGATTCTGTTCATAGAGTTTGAGCAGAACTTCTACGTACGTACAGTGATGTGAAAAACAGTTTCAGATCATTAAACAAATTTAAATATTAGATAATGATAACACAAGTGAACACAAAATGCAGTTTCTAAATCAAAGTGTTTATTACTTATGTCAAGATCCGTGGCAAGAACCGGGACCAAATGCAGGATTTTCCCATCAGAGTCGGTGTGTTTATTTACAGTGAGAAATGTGAACAATCGTGAAACAGAAGGAAAGAAGTGGTTTTGGTGAACGTGCTCCTGACTCCCGCTCCATGCTCATGGTCCGTGGTTTGACAGGCAAACAGCTCCTAAACTCTGAAGACAAACATAAAAAAGACAGCTTTTGAAGTCGTTCAAAGGGCTAAGCAACTTTGAACGACTTCAGAAGCTGTCAGAGGAATGAGGACCCAAAATGCAGGACTTGATGATGAAGGCAGTGCGTTTATTTACAGTGGTGTAAATCCAAGCAACAATAAATCCCCTGTGCGATCCCGACTCCTGTTCCGTGCCTTCTCCTTTAACCCGTGCTCCGTGCTCTGTCACCGTTCCCTGTGTACTGTCCGTGTGCTGCTTCCTGGTCTCCACAATTCCTCCTGGGGAAACACAAAGGCAGCCGTGAGTACAACACCTGACGCCAGACTTGCACTAACCTTGCACATAAACCGAGACTGACGGGAAGTCACTCAACGATCCAGCGTTGAGGAGCTCTCAGCCACACTGTTTTGAAGCTCCTCTGATGAAGCTAGATCGGCGCCAGGTGTGTGTGGAGATTCCTGGGTGTGACCGGTAGCTGGCAAGGCCACACTCACCAGAGCTGAAAGTGCCTGCCATGACTGCACCCACACACCTGCCAAAACACAAGCATGGACACAGGACAGCAGAAGCACAGAACACATACATATAATAATAATAATAATAATAATAATAATAATAATAACAACAACAACAACAAGTCCATACTGCACACGGACCCCGAGTCCCTGGAACCGGGTCCGTGACACACACTGATCCCAGAACAGACCGCATGTACAAATCAAGTTCTCTCTTTAGTTCGCTTTCATCCTCCTAGTCCTCCTCCTCATCTCCTTGTAACCCTGTTTTTATTCCTTGGGATGAAAAAGCAAAAAGGGGCCCGAATCTACTC